TCGACCGTTGATGTTTGTAGCTCTTTCAAGCCCCCTTTTTGGCGACCAGATTTGCTGTTGATCAAAGGTTTGCGGCAAACTTTCGCTTTCCTGTATTCTCGGGTGTTTTGGCGCGGTTTGACCGTAAATCTCCGTGAGGCTCTGAGCACTTATTGGCGCCACCAAGAAGTAATGCTTTTGGTTTTCGCAGAGGACTGCACCTTGGAGCCAGCCAACAGTTTTCTTATCTGGCGAATCTTATGTGGCTTGTTTGGTTGCAGTCGCTTTTCTTTCGTGTTTGTGTGGACGCCCGATCCTTCGGCAATCAGTGTGGCGAACTGGATGTAAGAGAGATTTTCCTGTTGGCTAAAGTCACATTTACGGGTTTGGTTGTTGAGGTCCTGTGCGACGGTTGTGTCCACAAGCAGACAGGCCGCTTTTGACGGGGTGGAGCTGGAGATTGGCTTCGCTGCTTATCCTCGCACATCTGACTCAGTCCAGTTCAGAGGCTGTGGCTTTAGTGAGGAGTACATGGCTACAGCTCTCGTCTGTTACGGAGATAAGCGTTGATAGCTCTACGTACTTTGCGCGCCGCTCGCATGTGATATTTGCAGCCCCAGGGCATTGCTGCTTTTGGTGAGTGAGAGACCTGTGAGTGAAAGCCGCTGTCCAGGAACGCGGTTGGTTTCGTCGGACACAAGTTTCGTCGGGAGCACAAGGGGCTATGGCCACAACCAGCTTGGTCATGACGATGCAATTTCAGTTCGTGTGACAAGTTCCTCTGACAGTCGCTGTTGGAAATCCTTATCAGCGTGCTCCACACTCCGATTATTTTACACATGTTTGTTTTGTGTTGCTATATCACTAATAAATTAAGACAGGCTATAATTCCTTGATCAACCAACACAGGTTTACTCCGTTTAAGCGTTTTCCACTAGTTTTCCACTAAATCATAGCTGTCCACAGCCAGCAAACTCCGGGCAACTTAATATAGCCCCCTGAACTCACCCTTTTGGTATCCCTTCATAAATGCCTATTTTCAAGGGTGGTCTTTAGAAGCACCTGTCGAACATGCTCACCAGTGGTCTCCGCCCCTCGTTCACTTGGGTCTTCGGATCGAACAAATGCCTGTGATTCTGCGCCTACCTAAGTTCTTATGTGTTGATCACCCTGGAAAGTCCAATGTTCACTGAAAACACGATGGCAAGCGATTCTGTCTGTGCCATAAATGTAAGTCCGGTGCAAATCCGCGCAGAAACTTAAGGTATCCTTGCAATCGTGACGCTGCTCGACCACACTCAGTCTAATTGCGCAAACGTAACTAGCTTCTTCGATCAATTGGAGAATGTTTGGGACCGATTGGGAAGTCGTCGTTTCAGAGGAGTTTGGTGAACCAGCTTCCTTTTTCTGACTGGGTCCTGCATCTCCCCTGTATAGATGTAAAATAGGAAGTGTGCGCAAAATAACAAGGGTTATCTCTCAAACGTTTTGTTAGAGTAATAAAATTCAACAGTGACTCGTGCGTACTCTGTGAATAGATTGAACAACGAAAAAATTCTTTCACAAATTTGCAAGAGGGAAAAACGAAACCGATTCCGAACGTACCGCAGTTTTCGATTAAATTACTAAACATCCACGATCTGTTTTTAATTGCTTCTTACAATCATGATACTGTTTTACTCCACTTGTCAAATCTAACTTTGGCTGAGTGTCAACTTATTCACTATTCTTCAGGCCACAATATAATGGACGACGACGATTTGACGCAGGATATTTTGGATCAGTTTGACCTGATTTGCACACAGCATCTCGTGGAAGTTGGTGAGTTTGTCAGCTTTTGTCGGCGCATTTGGGTTACAGGTATACACACTACCGTGAATAGCCCAAAGGTGTGCAACTTTCGCAGTAAGTTATAGCTTATACTTAGCATGGTTTCATCGCTAAGACATTGATGGAAGGCATATTGACTCAAAGCTGGTGCGAACAAAATCTTTGGATGGACGAGCCGTTCCCAGCGTTGTGGAACGCAGTCGTCAGGGCGCGGATGATAGTAATCAGCAGGCAATCACCAAAAGCAATGAAGAATTCGATCGTCTGAAGAAAGAGGTAATTCCAGAGCATATTACTGAATATGTGATCCTTGTTTATCTTCGAAAACTGGTCCACTTCGGGCTTAATAATAATAATAATGATAATAATAGCAAAAATTATAAAATTGATCTGCTTCTCTTCCTTTATTCGTCGACAAAGTTTCAAATGCGCACATGTGTCGGCTTTAGCTTTCGAGATATAGCTCAACTCATGTGTATGATAATTTCATCAGGAATTTTCCAATGCCTATTTCCTCGACTGGATAACCCCTTATTGCGCAAGATTTCTAGTGGCATGTTCCATTTCCACTCAAGCCAGTTTCAACTGACTTAGCAAAGATTAGTTTCACGGTGGTGCCTAACCGTCCCAACAACGTTTTCTGTCCTTTTATTGCTTGTATGTTACCGAAAGAAGCTATAGTGAAAGAGTTCCGCATACTGGTTTCCCTTCCGAGAGTGATCATTACTGGAATCGAGCAAAATCCTGTTAACTGCTGTGAGGTTGGTATTACTGAGTGGACGTTGCAGTGTGTCTTGGTAGTTTTTAGGGGGGCGATCTTCTGGAGATTGTGAACTATAGTTCCCAAATGATAACCTCTCAGTACCGGCATGTTTCAAGTTTTTTTTTAAATTTTATTTATTATTATTTCTCTTCCGAAGTGGAACGAGAACTGAATAGTACGGTTGAATAGTTACCGCAGCTTGTGTTTGTCTGTAAGTTTCTGCCATGTTTTCAGTGTACCCACATTTAGCGATTCGGACGATTAACTAGATTGTACAGCTTTGACACTCTCCCGGTGCATAAATACGTTATTCGAAAAATGACCCATGGTACCAATCCAAATGTCTTCCGTGACCGATAATTTTGGACCCTTCAGTCGAGATCTTGCATCTTAACGCCCGAACCGCTTAAGAACTTAAGTATGTTTGTATTTTAGAGCTTCTGAGAGGGGCCTGATCCCCAACACGTCGGGCTGGAAACTCGAAAACTTTAAGATAGAGGACAAACTTCTGTCACGCATATCTATGGATTGCACTGGGAAAGAGAGCATTACTACTACCCTCCACCTGTAGACGTTTTACTTAAGTAGGATGGTAGTATAAGATTAGTAATTTCGGTTGTCATCCAACTTTTTTGGGTCCACTGAATCCAGCGTTGCTACGTGACCAGTGTTTAGACCGTTATAGGCCGATGGTACTTAGATGGCCGGTGGCTAAAGTTGACCTCTTTGAGTGATGTGAAAATGATTACGAAAGTTTGAATGCTCTCGACGCCATTCGCCTTCCACGATTGGGTCTCTGTAATTCCCTGTGCTTAACTTCAGGTGCTACAATGTATGGCTTCTAATTGATACCAGTGACATTCTTGCTGCTAGCATCTGTCTTGATTTTCTGCGTGAGTATTTAAAGGTGTAGACACCTCGAAACGGCTATGGTGGGTTGAGTTTTGTTGTCATAGTTAAGTAAACACTTCGTACCTTTCCCAGACGATCAGAAGGTACTGATTCCATGCTCAACAAATCAGGTGGATATGTTTCGCTTTAGACCATATAGGCTTGCTAATGATACTCAATTCGATTGTCCATATTACGAGAAGATGGATAAAGGTCGACTGGTCATGGAATTAGAGTCAGTTGAGTGCAGGAATCTTCTGACTTCATCAATGTTTTTTTTAGTTCATGAGTGCTTCTCTGTCGGTTTAAATTTTTTTACGGTTGCCTTTGATAGATTGCATGGCTTGTTTTCCAAAGCTGTTAAATAATCATGAAGCTAGAGTTAATGGCTGGTACGAAAGTTTCATGCGCCGTTTGTCTGCAGCGTAAAATAATGGTTAACATAGCTCGCCTAACCCCTTTATAACACTGGACGTCGAATTTCGCTCTTCGCTTTGGCGGAAAGACCAGTCGGCACTAAAATCGGATGCATTTTCAACGTCTGTGGAGTGCTTTGTCCTCGTACCATTGGGTCGTAGCTGCCCGACCGCGCCGAGGTCGGGAAGAAAATAACTAGTTCAGGAATAGACTGTATGCTGGAACTTGAACTCAACAACGTTACTTTCCATGCTTCCAACATGCCTTGAATCTTTCAGTCGTATGCAGTGCACTGTCGTTTTGACCGTCTCACCCTTGTTCCAACGTGATTACGTTTTCTGGTGAGTTCGCTCTGAACTTTATCTTCCCAATCCGGATGGAAATTCCATCTTTCGTGAGACCACCGGGACTGATACAACTGCCCAGGTAAACAAATGTGTCTATGACCTCAGTCGGTTCATCCGCAAGCACGAGGCTAGGGTTTGAGCCTACTCAATCTTGCAGTAGCACTTTACACTTTGCAGGTGTGAAGCGCATGCCGAACCGCGAGGCAGAATTATTTAGATTATTTAATATTGTTTGCATTATCACGGGATCAGATCCTAGAAGAGCTATGACTGTCTTCACGATACCCGGTTCTGTTCCACATCACTATTGTTATAAATGCAACTATTTTCTCTCATGGCCGTCTTGCTGATTGAGTTAAGATCAAATTTCAGTTGGTACAACGAGATTCAGCATACCGGTCATTCTGTTTGACTGCTTTTAGATTTGCTGCGGCATTCTTGTGACCTTTTGCATCAAATGCCATTATAGTTAGCACAGGTCCCGTTTGGGTCCATGAAGAAACTCGGTTATTTTGAGGTACCACTACCACATCCGTTCTTCACAACTGTATTTACCCTTTTGGATTCTAGGTAATCACTTTACGTGAAGAACTGTACATGAAACTGGGTGAGCTTGCCACCATTAAAGAGTCAGCCAAACGTGCGAACGCTACGAAGTCGGATGCCATTATTCGGTTAGAAAGTAGCCTGAAATCGGAGCGAGAGGAATTCCAACATCGACTGAGTGAGCTAACGGCACAGTTGGCTTTCCGGGAAGCAGACTATCGCTTGGTTACTTCTGAATTGGCTCGTGTGAAAGAACAAGTGGCAATGGCAAAGACGTCCACGTTTCAGGGTGAGGTATTTACGATCTTCACTAACCTTGTGAGCCGATATGAACAATCTCTTGTTTCTGGTATTTTCAGGTTAACATATTAGTAGCTATCCTCAAGTCGGTGCGAGCCTCGTCCGCTATCGATTTTTCGGCTTTTTTGTTGAACTTGCACTCATCTGACTGACTGTTCCAGGGACAACCTTTTTGATGATGTACTGGCAGTTTCTTTTTTCCGAAGATAACAGTAGTTCAATGCATTTACGCAAGGTGTTCACAGGAACCACCGCCCGTAACTAATAACTATTGACTATTTTTTTTAAAACCATTGTTTGAGTCTCAGCTCTCCACCATAGATGTGATATTCTTGACATTTCACTCCCTTTTGCCTCCTTTTACGCAACTCCGATGATTGGGTAATCAACATTCATTCATTCAAGAGCTGAATGGTTTCCAGAACCCCCCTGAGTTCTCTCCGGCCTCTCAGATAATTGCCTCAGTAGCTATGTCCCCCTATACCGATCGACAACAGCCTTCACTTCTTCAGTCACCGTCACAGAGCCACTTGCCAGCACCGGTCACTCCAGTTCCAAGCAGACGACGAACACGTCACGTGGATGGAATGTGGAGGGTTCCTATAGCATCAAAGGCGGAGGCTCCACTTTCACCACCAGCTATTCCTTCAAAATTACGGAATGGTTTCCACGCTATCTCAGACGTTGTCCCATCAGCTGTGGAACCGCCCGAACCTTTAGAATACGGAATACTTGAGACGCCACGAAAACGACCTCGCCACTGCGGACCGGATTTACTAACAGCTGAAACCGCATGCTCACCGCGTCGCCAGCTTGTTGATGTAGCTATTGGTACGGACATTCCATCATTGGACAACCCATTTGCTGGTAAACTTCGTTACCGGATTCCAAGAATCACACCTAAGCCTGGATTATCTTATATTGCCCTACAGCATCTCTCTACAGGAATTCCCACACCCAATAAGCTAGCCTCGGACTTACTTCGTTTGGTGGCACTCGAAGAAGCAGACTGTCGAGATCAGAGGTATGTTTGAATAACTTGCATGTCAGCTGTTTAGTTGCTGTAGTAGTGTAAAAATGTCTTGTAACGTGGAACGCATGGATTTCTGACATTTTATACTTCCAACGTGATGTCTTCATAGTATCATGTAAGTTAAGCGCTAGTGGTATGTAGCTCGCGATCACAATTTCACCATGGTGTTGCTATTTGGTGATACGCCTGCGATATGCCTGAATGTTCTGATCAGAGTTTCATACTCATTAGTTTCTGAGACGACCAAATTCTCCTTACAAATACTTCCCTGTTTGGGCCGACGGCTTCGGTTATTTCTGTTGGTGTTTCTTCAAAGCAGTATCATTCATTTTATCGGTTTTGGTTGGACGTATGAATATAGGAAGTGGACTTTTGTTCTATTAAACCACCTATTAAGTGAGGATGCAGATGCCGGAGGGTATTATTTACCACCACCATAATTATAATTATCAATTGAAATAGCGCACAATTATCTGCTTACTCGTAGCTATATTCTCTGACAGATGACCGAACAGGGGATGGCAGAGGGATCCCAAACAGACATTCCTTTGATTCTTGGTAGTGTAAGTAGATTTGAGATTTTCAACAAAGATTTCATACTACATGTGGAGCTAGTCTTCAATGAAAATTTGAGAAACAATATACAGCTCCCTCATTATTATTGGGGATAATCTTTAGTGAGACTCCAGTGTATTTCGAACCCGTGACCTCCTGGCTAGCAGTTCAAACACTGGACCATTTGGCCACGGGCGGTGGAACAACAGTATGAGTGGTTTGAACTTAGACGGTATGTAACTCAATTATTTTGGGCCATTTTTCTCTCGGATTTTGGTTCGGGGTGGTTTATTAAGTAAAGTGTCAGTCTGTTGCTCGGGTGGTCCATGGTTCAAATTCGCTTCTAGTTTGCCGATTGCTTTTGTCCTGGCATTCTGGTAGTACATTAGCCTTCCTGCTTCCTTCCATCGTTCCATGGGAGCTATGTGCCAAAAGGAGGACGCAGCTAGATGGCTTTGTTTCCCGGTATTTAAAGCTGCATACAATAGTTTCTTGTAAAAAAGTAATAAATAGTAATCGTTCAGTTGTAATACTATATTACTGTAATACGAGGACTAAGATGCTGCCAGGTTGCCTAGACAGGAGCAGTCGAGATGCAGAGGTTGGGTTCGAACCACGAACCTCTCGGTCAGTAAGTCTGCACCTTCACCACTGGAGTTCTTCCTGGGAAATATCCCCGGTGAGAACCTGTGGATACTTCTGTTGCGAACCTTGTACTCCAATGTTCATTTGCATAGAGTGAGCAGGTATAATAATTGTAAGATGCATCGTGTACGTTTGTCAGTTGATAGCCTTTGGAATTCGGTGTCACAAACCTGGAAGTGTGAAATGTGCACGTGGCATAGGTTTCAAGAGGAATTAAGAGTTGCTTGGCTGTAGTCTACGCATGACAGCCTATGCAATACATAGAAGATGCTGGCAACGTTGTGGAATATAGGTAGTTCTGGTACGCTGATTGATTGTTGGTCTGTTCGCCGGGTTTGGCAGTTGGATTGCAAACGTTTCATCACCAATCGAGGTGACATTGCCAGTGCGGGGTTGAGTAGATTGAGTAGGACCTACTCAACCCCGCACTGGCGATGTCACCTCGATTGGTGATGAAACGTTTGCAATCCAACTGCCAAACTCGGCGAACAGACCAACAACCAAACAGAAGGCGCTCCTCGCCTGAGTTAATTGTGTTAAAGTGGTGCATCCACACCACAAGTGGTGACCCGCATCATTTTGCCTTTTTGTTTGGTTCGTGAGTCTCTTAAAATAGTTTGTCGTTGAACTACAGAAAAGCACCAACACTGAATGCTGATGTAACGATGTTGAGTATCCAGGTCACACAAAGAAAATATCTTTTTTATCAGCAACTACTAATACATCGACATGTCCTAACTTAACATCGATTCAATTTGGTGGGGCTTGAATATCTCCTTTTGGTGAAATTTATCCCATCTCCAGTCGGTATTTCCATGAACCGCAACTAAGAAAGCCGTGATGAAGGATTCCCTACATGAATTCCCTACAAGAATCCCCTACATGAAGAATTCCCTGCATCTTTTTCGATCCGAAAAACTTCTTGACTGCGAAAGGCCAGTAGTGTAATCGCTTTTACAGCGAATTGCGTTGATTTTGGAAGTACTTTATAATTATCTTGAGGTACCCTCTAAAGGTTTTTTGCGAGCTTAACAAGTCTGCTTCGCGAGCCTACCTTTGGATGACAGTGTTCGTCAGGGCTTTGCTATACAGCGTTTGTGACATAGTTCTCTAGGTGTTGATCCTTTCTTGTCTGCCTCAGGCTTCTACTATAACGAATAAATTCATTCGTGCAAGCTGTTTGCGTTTCGCCCAATCTCGCACAGTGTTCTGTAGAAGTCACTGTTTATTCTCACTCACGTTCTAGGTGCTCAACCACAGAAGCTGCTGTATCAAGCCTTTCGGGTTCCAGTCTATTATCGACTGATCATTATCTTCAGGGCATTCGTATTTTGGTTGACTGCGAGGCAGAGTCGATCACACCTTCGTCGTCTGAAAGCACACTCAGACATCGTCTACTGAAGGCGGCGGCCTTTATCAAGTCACTGACGGATGCCCTGCCCCATCTAATAGTACGGATTGAAGAGCTTTTGAAGGTATGTTACCACTTGGTGTACTCCCACATTCGTGTCACAGTAGCTTTTTCACATCTTATATGTTTACGGAACCAGAACATCTTAATGCGGACAAAGCAATCAGTCCTGTTTTGTTCGGAGGAAGTCGTCCAGCTGTAGCGCCCTTTCGGTGCCTAGCTGCCATGCCACACGAAGGAGGCACGAGGGCTGGGATACTGCCAGGTTGCCTAAGCCTAGACAGGGGAAGTCGAGTGGCAGAGGTCGGGTTCGAACCACGAACCTTCCGGTCAGTAAATTCGCGCTCTAACCACTTGGTCCATCTCGCCCCCTTTGTTCGAGGAATCTAATATGTGGCTTTGTTTGAGACTACGGGGTTGGAACCCGGTTGCCGAAATAACAAATAGGGTTTCTCCGGCACATTTTTGACCGTTCCAACAAATCTTTCTATTTTGGCATGTGTCATTAATGCAGTCAGGCTGGTCATTGGTCCAGTCCTTACAAATGATCTTCAACCATATATTACAGCTATTCCGGTCCATATGGCTGATCTACTCCAATACAGTTGTCAGTTCACGGATTATCCTGAAGCCATACAGCCTTTAGGCAGTTTCAAAACTTGAGCACTATTTACTATACTACCGAGGACCGCTGCGTGCCATGCGCTCGGAAAGTATCCCACAATCGCTCAGTTGATGCGTTATATGTGTTAGACTAGGTTACAAACTCGACCTACCTTTCAGTTAGTTAAGCTGGTCAACGATCCACTAATGTTGGTTCTCTGAAATCTCCCGGCCTACTCTGTACATTCGCCCGTATTCCAGCTCGTCCTCATCTTTCCTCATCCGCAACAATCGGATGCCCACCGTGTTCCTTCTGCACCTTCGTTGACGAACGTTGGGAAGGTGGAACGTCCTTCGAACGTTTTCGGCGCCCCTATTTCTGAGCAAGAGGACGGAACAGAGGGTATATCCTACCTTGGAGAGGATCCATTTGCCGGGGCTCCAGCCTCTCAAATCGTCGCTCCACTCCCTCAGCTTCCTTTTCGAAGAAGTAGGTGTTTTCTGTTTCCGTCTGTTGTCCAGCTTCACCTGAACACAATAATTCGGCCACAACTGTTTTTTGTATTTGAGGGCGAATCAGTTCTTTTAGTGAAGTGTGAAGTTTAATTGTTGCTGATGAACCACTCAGGATTGCTATTTTATTCCAGATACTTTCTTGCGTCTTATTGGAAAACAAGTTAGATACATTGCTCTACTGTGCCGATGTAAGATTCGATAAATAAACGCAAGGGATGTTTCTTTGGTCTGTTTGTTCTTTCGTTTTTGAACGGTGCTGTTCGTTATGCAACCGATTTCAGCTCACTTGTATCGTTTTTATTTAGTCTACTATCCATACTTCATCGTTCGTTGGCTGTAGGACTCGAAGCTTGTCCTGAATTCTTACTCTGCTAACGGACTTTCCTGTTCTGTTTTCTTTTCATGACTTTAATTTGTTCGTTAAAGCCTCCTGAACCATGTTATTTCCATATCCCAATGGAATACCCGCAACAGTTTTGATTTACCTTCCTATGATGTATATAAATACAGCATTTATTTGGGGTTGACATATTTCCTAGAATGTACGTGGTCAAATCGTTCTTCCCATTTTATCACCTGAATGGAACGGCTTTCCTGAGACAGGGGTGTTTGCGGATAAGCGGACCCAGGTACTCTTTCTTTGGGTACGATATCGATCAGCTGGTTGCTGATTGCATTCGTTGTGCACTCGTAATTTTTTTCATGCCACAGGGGTGTTTGGGGATAAGCGGACCCAGGTTCTCTTTCTTTGGGCACGATATCGATCAACTGGTTGCTGATTGCATCCGTTATGCACTCGTAATTTTTTTTCAGCCAGAACCATATCCCTGAATTAAAAGCCTGATCTGTTTTTTGTCTGTCTGCCTGGACGTCTCATCTGTGATGGTCCTTAGTTTTGTCCTGCATTAATCATTAGTGATGTTTTGATAAATTAACATGTTTTTGTCTTGTCAGCAGCCCATTCTGTGGAACTACAAGGACGTCCAAATCAGCATCAGAGCGACATTGCCTCACCCGCCCCCGCCACTATTCGGCAAACTCATTCTTCCACAGACATCAAATTAGTCCCTCCGTCGAAACTGGGTGACTGGCCTTCATTCCCGCACCAAGCAGTCCTTCAACATGGTTTGTCAGCTCTCAGACAGGTTCAGTGCATCCTGAAAACGCTGCACCAATGGCATGCCACATTACGCAACTCTCCAGGAGACGCTGACCATTCTTTCGACTTCTTCCAAATTCATTCTCTCATTGGTCGTTTGATGTCTCAGTTTATCAGTCAGCTTGCGGATATTCGTGTGTGAGTTAATTGTTGATCGATCCTAGCAAATGGTTGCCTTTCAGGTCCATTTTTCCGTACAACCACATCCGCACCACCCAATTTAATCTCCTTAAGACCCTCTAGACCGTCGCGAACATCTTGCTCAAAGCAATGTAGTCCATTTTGACAAAGTAACTGGTAACACATCTGTGGTGGTTGCTCATCTGGAACACAGGTTAGAAATCTCGGTTAATTTTCAGGTTTTCCTCCTGAGACTATCGGTTGCAGCGGAACAATCACCAAAGATACACCGAACATAGTGAACGCGTGTGAGGCGGGCAAATATTCTATACGAACATACCATACTTAAAGTGTATGCACCATAAGCATTCTAGTAGCTCGAGTGGTTTCTGAAAGTGACAAAGGTTACGAAAGCCGTGGTGCTGTTGGCGATATCTGCCTTTCAGAATGGACCTCCGTTACTTTCCTGCGTTCACACAAAGGCATCGGATTATATGGTCTCGTTCATGCCTTTTCCCCACTAGCTCTTCATTATGGAGCTTTATTTTAGGAACCTGATATAACTGAGCAGTTGTGAAGCGCCAGATCAATAGTGATCTGTCAACGGTTCTTGTACTATTCAGTATTATCAGAAGTCGAGGTTCCCCGCCATAGTTCTATCCGTTAGGTATTCACACTAATATATTCCACGCAACTAAAAGCCCCCAATGTGGTCGGTGGTTGGTGTCTTGGGAAACGAGCAAAGTCATCCTTTGTCCCCATGATGTGCTCTCAAGAGACCAACTACCGTGTAGCCGCTGTTAAAGAAATCCCATTCACTGGTGAAGTTATTTCCAATAAAGTGAAAGAGGCCATTGGTTGTTTGTCCAGGGGAGTTGGATAAGCTGTGATTCTAAATCAAACAGTGAATCAATTCCGGTTGACTGGATTGATGAGATAACATCCGGAATTCAACTGCCGCGATGACGGTCTTGTTGCATCAATCTCAACGATTTTCATGTCATCTTGCAAGTTGCACTCAGTTGCGCAAAGGCCAGAGGTTTCCCCTCACACGGTGCTTTATGGCGTTCACGGCCTGTGACGCACGGTGTGCTAGTCCAGCGGCAGAGTTGACCAGGGATCCTCAGTACTAAAAGACTTTCCACGCTGGCTGCTGGAATGCCCGCACTCTGCTGAGTGGTTACCGTTAGAAGATAATTGTGCGTAGTCTTCACGATTACCGGCTAGATGTTACGCCTGTCAAACCAAACTATCCGAGCCATATATCTGACGAATCCTTGTATCGGGAAGGGACATCGACTAGTGGCTCTTCTGCAGTGGTCTAGTGTACAAGTCGGGTATATACGGGATCAATTTTGCGTTGAGTGACCTTGAGTGATTTCTTCCGTTGGCGTGATAGCCAGACAACGGAAGGGTGCTACAGCTGAACGATTTAACTGAGCGACCATGCCCACGGCGCGGTAATAAATTGGAACCCCGCCTTACCCGGAATACCACTGTTGATCTCCACTTCTTCTGCTCAAATTGTGTACAGTGAGCTTCAAAGTCTTGTTAATGAGACGTCTAGGCGCGATGTATTGTTAATTACAGGTGACTGGAATGCTTGTGTAGGTCCGTCAGGCTGATCCATCTGTCTTATGCTGAATGAGTTTGGCCTGGGAAAACGATGTAAAAACCATTACAAACTTATCGAATTCGCGTCGGCGAACCTCCCACACGCGCTTGTGACATCCTAAACGGCATATACAAACGTGATATTCGGATGAATTTCACACAGTCTCTCTCATAGACTATGTCCTGATACACTCTAGATGTGCATCAGATGGAATGGGAGACAAGGAGAGCCAAACAGCAACTGGTAGTCCACTGCTTGCGCTACCCTGGAAATCATTGGTCTTGGTGCACTTCAACAAGGCCCCTGAATTATGCAACCTCCGATGTGAATCCGCGAAGTCTGCTAGAAGCGACCGTATTTCGCACTGGTCCGATATACTTTCAAGTGCGAAGGAAGCCTCGAGCGTTAGCGACCTACCTGAGATTTTCCTCTACTGTGTTGTCTCTGATAAAAGCATTCTACACAACCACCAACCGCGTAAAAAATATGAAGGACTAATGGAAGATCAATCAGAGTAGGAGTAGTGGCGAGCGGAGTACTTCACCTAACTTCTAAACCACTGGTTTTCGGACGAGAACCACCTAGTTAAGCTGGGATTAGTTCGGTTGTCAGTCTCCTCAAAAACAAAAATGCTCCAGGAAAGGATGCTATTCTCTTTGCGGTGTATCAGTATTACCTCCCCTTAATCCTTCTATCTATTCCTTTTTTTGGGGGGCGAGGTGGCTCAAGTTGTTAGAACGCGAATTTACTGATCGGAATGGCCGTGGTTCGAACCCGACCTCTGCCTCTCGACTTCCCCTGTCTAGGCTTAGGCAACCTGGCAGGATCCCAGCCCTGGTGCTTCCTTCGGGTTGCATGGCAGCTAGGCACCGAAAGGGTGCTGCAGCTGAACG